TGCCCCCTCCTGGGACCCCTGCTCCTAACTGCCCTCCACAACCCCACCCCCTACCTAAGCCTCCCTGTTCCTTATCCCCTAACTGCCCCCTCCTAAGACTCCCCCCAAACTGCCCCCCAGGACCCTACCCTCTACCTGTACCCTGACTGCCCAAAACCTTATCCACACACCTCCCAGAAAGCCTCCCCCCCGAACTCCCGACCCACTGCCCCCTCCAAAATCTCCCTGCCCCTTCTCCTGCCCCCTGGCTCCCTTGTCGTTGGCCTTCGGTTCGCCTAAGGTCTCCCTGGGAGCTTGCTCAGGAACTGTCTGAGCCGTTCTCCAGCACGCTGGGCAGCAGCGGGGGAGGAGCTCCAGACTGCCGGAGGCGAATGCAGGGAGGGAGGGAGGGAGTGAGCTATGCTGCAGCGGGAGGAGGGGGAAGTGGAGGAGGGACTCTCTCTCGCTGTCGGAGCCCCATGTAAGTGGCACCATCCGGCTGCCCTGTTAGCCGCGCGTGCTCTGCATGGGGAGGGGGGGGAAGTCCGGACATTAACAAATTCCCCCCGGACGCTATTTTTAGTTCAAAAATCCAGACATGTCCGGGGGAATCCGGACGAATGGTAACCCTAACACCAGCAGCCAATTTGCTCGTTTAAAGTTGCGCAATGTTCCCATATAACATTGTTTGGCAGCTGCTTGCTTTGTCCACTGCTTGCAGAAAGAGCAGCCCGTTGCAGCTAGCTGGTAGGGGCTTGGAACCAGTGTGGACCGGCAGCCCCCCTATCAGCTCCCCACTCCCCTAAGTTCCCTGTGCGGCAGCTACCCAGTAGGCTATCAATGTCTGGCAGTTCAGCTGTCCCTCCCCCCACTGCCATGTGCTGCTCCTGCCCTCTGCCTTGGAGCTGCTCCCGGAAGCCTCTTGCTTGCTGTGTGGGGGAGCTAATGTTAGGGTGTCTCCCTCCCCCCTGCTTACCCCATCTCTATAGAGCGGGTGGGTGGGGGGACACAACAGGGCTCAGGATGGAGGGAGCTTGCTGGCAGCAGCTTCTGTCTCAACTTGATGATCTATTTAAAAAGGCAATGTACTTAGAGTGGTGTCAGCGTACTTAAAAGGGCAATGTGCATCTCTCTCTCTCACACACATGGTGTGTCTCTCTGTCTCTGTCTGCCATGCCGTCTCCCTTCCCTCCATTTGTGCTGCCTTGTAGAGTGTGAGGCTACATTAACAACAATGTGTTAACCCTTGAGGGCTCAGCCAAATGCTAGTTGATCATTTAGCAGTAAGGCATTCCCTGGGAAATATCCCACTCTCTTCCACCCTCTGACTTCACCACCTCAACCAAGCTTCACAATCATCATTGCTGTGTACAGTATTAAATTGTTTGTTTAAAACTTATACTGAGTATATAATATAGTCTTTTGTCTGGTGAAATAATTTCCCTGGAACCTCCCCCCCCTCCCCCATTTACATTAATTCTTATGGGGAAATTGGATTCGCTTACCATTGTTTTGCTTAAAGTCACATTTTTCAGAAACATAACTACAATGTTAAGCGAGGAGTTACTGTAACATCCTCTCTACTATGATGGAGGAATCCCCAGGAAGAATGCATGGATATGCCATTCCTTTCCCCTTCACTAGACGGGATATCATTATGGATGCATCTCTTTTAGGCTGGAGGGCTTGCAGCGCAGGGCACTTGGACTTCACAAGAGACTAGGATTCACATCAGCAATCTGGAAGTGTGAGTCCAGAAAGCTTGCAAAGCCTTTTTTCCATTGATTCAAGATAACCATATCCTCATCATGTCCGACAATATGACAACTGATTTTTACATCAACAAGCAAGGACAAGTGAGATCCATTGCCCTGTGTGCAGAAGCAGTCACCCTATGGAAATATCACACCAGCAATCAAATCACCCTGTTGGCAACTTACCTTCTAGGGGATCAGAATGTGCTGGTGGATTCCCTCAACAGACACTTTGCTGTCAACCACGAAATGGGAGTTACAAGACTCCATGGTAGACAGTATTTTTGCTCTGTGGGGAACCCCTGCAAGGGACCTGTTCGCCTCTCAAATGAACAAATTGCAATATACTACTCCAGAGGAGCCATAGACTTCTACTCTCAGAGAGACATTCTCCTCCTTCCATGGTCAGACCATCTATGCCTTCCCTCCCTTACCACTCCTACCTCAGGTCTTAGGGGATATTTTGTCAAGACAAGGCACAAGTCATCATCATCAGCCTCCAGTGACCTGGACAGTTTTGGTTCCCAAGTCTCTGATTCATGTTGTTTCTATCGCTGATCAACATTCAGTCTTCTTCCAATTTCCTGACCCAGAGGAAAGGCAGCATCAAGCATCCCATCTCCCAAGCACTGCATCTCAGGGCTTGGTTTTTAGATGGGTGTAAACTCTACAACATTTGTGTTCTGAAGTTATGCAAAGCATTCTTATTACCAGTAAAAAAAGATTGCACTAGAAAATACTACACTGAAAATGGAAGCATTTCTCTTGTGGGAGCAACAAAAACTTATAACCCCAGAGATTGCAGGTATTCCCCTTATTTTGGACTCCCCTCTCCCCCTCAAGAGTGGGTCTTTCCAACAACTCTTTACAAACCACCTGGCAGCAATCAGTGTGTACCACCCACCTTCACATGGTTACTCAATTTTTGCTCACGTATTGACTACCAGTTTTTGGAAGGGTCTACTCAGAATCTTTCTGCCAGTAAGGAAACTTACTCCTCAGTGGACTTTAAATCTTGTTCTTTCAGTGCTCGCTACCCTTTGAACCACTAGATATGTGATCCATGTCTAATGGATAGAAGAAGATTGCATTTGTGGTAGCCATCACCTCAGCCAGGAGGGTGGCTGAGCTCAGAGCACTGATGGCAGATCTGCCTTACACTATATTCCCTAAAGACAAAGTCCCATTGCTTTTACATCCCAAGTTCACCCCCAGAGTAGTTTCAGAGTTTCACCTGAACTAGTCAGTTCACTTACCTGTGGTTGTTTTCCCCCCGCAAAAACCCACATGCATCTGAAGAAGAGAGGAGACTTCATTCCCTCGACATGTGCTGAGCCTTAGGGTATGTCTAGGCTTAAAATGCTACAGTGATGCAGCTCTGCCTCTGCAGCACTTCAGTGTAGACACTCGCTATAGCGACGGGAGGGGTTCACCCATTGCTGTAGATGATCCACCTCCCCGAGAAGCAGTAGCTAGATCAACAGAAGAATTCTTCTGTCGACCTAGCACTGTCTACGCCGGGGGTTAGGTTGGTATAGCTGTGTCTCTTAAGGGTGTGAATTTTTCAAACCCCTGAGAGAAGTAGTTATGCTGATGTAAACACTCAGTGTAGACCAGCCTTTGTCCTTTTACCTACAAGAGACAAAACCAATCAGAATATCTCCCAGATTGTTTATTGCTGTAGCAGAAAGAGTTTCAGGTCAAGCTATGTCTTCTCAGAGGATATTTAAATGGATCTTGGTCTATTTCTTACCCTGCTATAAGCTGCCTAATATTTGTCCTTCTCATGGGGTGAGGGCTTATTCTACAAGAGCACAAGCAATACTGGTGCTGTTGCTTCTGGATGTACCTCTGCTTCACATTTGCAGAGCAGCTACTTGGAGTTCCATCCACACATTTGTGAGGTGATATGCTTTAGTACAGGACTCCTCCACTGATGCATCCTTTGGGATGGTGGGGATTCAGACAGCTCTGCCACCTGCAACCTTGCACCCTCCTCCTACTTGAGTACTGCTTGTCTGTCACCCACAGTGGAGTACACATAGGGACCAACACTCGAAGACAAAGAGAGGTTCTTCACGATGTGAGATCCCTATCTGTATTTCACTACCCACCCTCCTTCCCTTTTGCTTTAGATTGTTCTTGGATTTGCAGTAGAGAAGGAAATGTCACCTGGGTAAGGATGAGAACCTACCTTTCGTACACTTTAGGAAAAGGCAAAGTGCAACCCTTGGTCAATAAGATCCAGGCCCTCCAGACCATGCCCTATGCCTTCCTTGAGGAAACAGGTGTGCAGTTTTTTAGGACTAGCTGATACCACTGATTTATTCCTGAGTTCTCAACCATTGCGGCCCCTCTTACCGATCTTCTCAAGAATGGTAGTCCAAAGAAGGACCAAAGGTTGTGAGGAGGCTTTTCAAACCCTGAAAGCCCAGCTCTGCTGAGAACCCATCTTGTACAGCCTCGACTTCACCAAGGAGTTCCTGCTACAGACCAATGCTTCAGATGTGGGCATAGCAACCGTTTTATCCCAAGTAGTGGAAGTTGATGAGCATCCCATCTTATATATCAGCTGGAAGCAGTTCACAAGGGAGATGGCTTACTCCATGATTGGAAAGGAAGCATTGGCAGTAAAATGGGCTAGCGACTCACTCTGCCACTACCTTCGGGGTGCTCACATCATGCTAGTCACTGACCATTCCCCTCTCCAATGACTACAGGCCATGAAGGATAATACCCCTGAATTATGTGATGGTACCTCTCCCTCCAGCCCTTTTCTTTCCGCATACAACACCAGGCTGGCAGAGCACACCTCCACAAGGTGGAGGAGACCAGATTGGGGAGGTCAGATTCCAAATGAGGTTATAGGGGTGTGGGAATGTGTGACCATGCAGAGATACGGCCTGCCAGCACAGCAGGAGTTAAGCTAGCCCTGCTAGCCCTGTCCTATTATACCTGCAGCCAATGGCAGGCCTGGAGGGGGTAAAAAAGGAGAGAGTTTAGTCTAGTTCAGGGCTGACTGGCGAAGAGGCAGGAGCTAGCTTCTGCCCTACTTGACAGGAGCACTAGCCTGCTGGCCAAGGCAGCCAACAGGGAGCATGTTCTGTCTCCTAGCCAAGGGAGACAGTGGAGGAGACCTAGGAGCCTCCGGCATCTGAAGTAACTGTGTAACTGCAGCCCAGAGACATTGTGGAGTTTGGCAGTACCAAATTGATGGCTGCCCCTCTCGAAAGAGCCTGGAACTCTGGTAGGGCACCACCCAAGATCCACAAGAGGGTGCCCCGGGAGGCAAGCCACCCCAGCATATTGGACTAAATGGACTCTGGTAGTAAGTAGCCCAGAGTAGTGGATTTAGAATCCCTCCTCAGAGAACCCCCTATTCAGTGGTCCACTCACACAGGGCCCTGGGCTGCGACCCGGTGGAGTGGGGGTGCCCAGGTCCTCCTATCCCCACTGCCCAAAAGACTGAGGCACCTTAACCAGGGAAATAAGGGGCCAGACATCAGGCACGCCAACGACTAGGCCACCTGGCCCTCCACACACCTTGTTACAAGGAGAAATTCACCACCACACACCGAATATAATTAAAGCATCTGTAAATTAGGAAAGAAAGATGGGATTATCCTTGTGTAAAAGTTGTCTCATCAAGAAAGAAATTAAGAGGCAGGGCATTCTCCTTCCACCCGCCCCCCAACTAAAAAGAAACTTTTTTATGTTTGGCTACTTTTATTTAGCACACAACAACTATGTTGGTTCAGAAATCCTTATCAGTACTTTTATCACAGACACAGCATGTGTTCTTAAGAAAGTAAACTTTGAAGGTTGCATCAAGTGACCCAAGGGGAAGAAAGCATTATTTTGTATTTTCTGCAGAATAGAATTAAAAAAAACCTTGAAGTTTTAGTTCTCAGAATAATCTCTAAAAGCATTAAGATGACTCTGATCTGTATAAATGGCCTCTTAGAACTATCTAATTCTTTGTTCATTTTCTTTGCTGCTTAGGATTTCATGTTTTTTGAACAAACTGGGGACAAGAACCAGCGAGCAGGAGTGTGGCAGTAGAATCTTCTGTTGGATTTAAAACATGCTTACAGAGAAAAGTTTCACGCTGCTTTGTGCTCTTTTTCTAAAATACATTACAAAAATCCAGTATATATAGAACATCTGGATCTTTTGCTTATTGCTAGTTTCTTTTGTAACTTAGGGTTTCTATTGCCCTATTTTATTGTTTTGATATTGCAAATACAATTCTATACCTCTGATATAAATATAGATTAAATCCTGTATAAATAATGTGAAATGTTTGAATCTTCCCTGACTGGAATTTAAACTGCAAAAATGATTTCTTTATTCTTGTGAGCACTTCATAGAAGATCTTTTATAGTACAGAAACATTGGGAGTAATCCTCTGTCACTTGCACAAAACTACAGTTGATCCTACAACAAGGGCAGATTTTTTAATATTCAACATTGGCAATGTTTTATTTTTATTTTTTTATATATATATATAAATAATTAAAAAATCAGTTCTCTGTAATATCTATATATTGTATATTAAACACTGTAATCCTATATTTTGTTTAATTATGATAAAATAGATATCCGCATTCATATTTTGATGTTTATAATCTATGATTTTATATATATATATGAAGAAAAGAACATTATATGAGAGCAGAGGTATAAATGAAAAGTCTATTTCTTCCACTATCTTCATCTGCATCTCACAATTCAGATGCAAAGTTGCCCAACAGGAGTAGAGTGCCTCACTGTAATTTAACTGTGTGCTGACTGTCTAGTGTCATTGTGATACTGGCAAACGTGATTCCTAAAGACATTGTATACAGCTGGAAGTCTTTCAAAATTAAGTTTACCCAAGCAAGATTAAAGCAGATGTAACCCCTGTTTAAAAATATCATTTTCCCACTTACCTAGAACATGAGGGAGATTTTGGTGTTCTGGGTTAAAATTTGTTACAGTTATTGATAGACCACTTTTTAACTATTTTAAAAGTTGGATCATATAGTGGCCTTTAAACTCATCTTATTTTGATGAACTTTTGATTCTTTGTAGTATAATGGAAACATACGTGTCTGGCAGCTTGTACCTTTAGAGTGAATCCTCCACTTTCATTTGCACAATAACTACAGTTGATCCTAGGACCAAGGCAGATAGGTAAACATATTTAGAGAGAAAAGAAAAAAGTGTGTGTGTGGGGGGGGAATCTGTCAGGGACAGTACTTGGTCCTGCTAGTGAAGGCAGGGGACTGGACTCGACCTTTCAAGGTCCCTTCCAGTTCTATGAGATAGGTATATCTCCATATATTTTTATATATATATATATATATATATATATATATTTCAAAGAGAAATAG